CCCCCCCCGACGTGGCCCCAGACTGAGAAGGAGACAGACGCTCCCCACATCCCCCTGGTACCCCACAACCTGGGGGGGGCTGGTAGATTTTGTGGGCTCCAGCCCCTGCCCCTCCCCCGAGCAACAACATGGCCTCCCAATTGCTGGGGAGGGGGCCTGAGCCTTCGGGGCTGCATCCGCCCCCCCACCCCTGACCTCTGCACAGAGGGAAGTGGGGGGCATGGGCCCCCTTTATTGTGGGGGGGGTCTCCTGGCTCACCCTGCCCCACCCCTGTGGAATCCAATAGCAGCCAGGGCTGAGTCCTGACTTCCACTCCTCGCCCCCCCAGGGTCTGCCTGGCCTTGAGACCCCCCCCCAAAAAATCCACCTTCCCTTCTGCTAGGAGGGCTCCCGGGGTGGGGAGAGGCCACTTCCCAGGGACTCCGGCTTTCCGCCGCTTGCCCGCCCACGTTCCTGGCAGCCCACGGGGGGCGGTACTGGCCCACGTTACCAGGGATCATGGGGGCTGGCCGCTCCCCGTGTCCGACAGCCGGGGGGCACCGGCTTATTTCTCACGGGGGGGCGCTGCTGGAGAAAGTGCCAGTCGCTTCGGGGATTTCTCGGGCTCAGGCCTTGGCCCGGGGAGCGCTCGCTAAGAGGGACCCCGCTGCTTTTCTCGCTCAGGGCGGGAAGGGGGCCTGCCCAGCGTTTCCAGGCAGGGCCGGACGGATCTCGCAGGCCCCGCCGGGCAGGAAAGAGCAGAAGCCAGAAATTAACTTTACTCTGTGAACCGTGGCCCCCCGATGCGACCGCATCCCAGCGACGCAAGAGCAAACCGGGGGCACTGAGCTGGGGGAGGGAGGGGCCGTCCCTCTGGTTTTTAGACGCATAAATCAAGCCCGGAGGACTTTGCGAAACGACCCTCAGGCTGCGTCTCCAGGACGAGTTTTTTCTCAGCACAAAATATGCTAAGGAGGGACTCATTTGCATGAGCCGCAGTCTCATTTGCATGTTTTCTGCCGATCCGTCTTTGCGCGGGGTGAGGGGAGGTGACGCTCAAAAACAAGCCGTGGGTTTCCTTTTTGCACAAAAACCCTTTTCCCGCCCGATCGGTAAGCCTCCTTTTTTGGGGCGTAAGGATCTTGCGGGAAAAGGGGGGGTTTTGTGCAAGAAGGAAACGTTCCCACGGCTTGTTTGTGCGCAAAACCCTCCGGCGCAAAAATGGATCGGCAGAAAATATGCAAATGAGACCGCGGCTCATGCAAATGAGTCCCTCATTAGCATATTTTGTGCAGAGAAAACTCGTGGTGTAGACGTAGCCACGGTGAGGGCGACTCAGACCAGACTTTCCCTCCCCATCTGAGTGCGAGTTTCCTGGCACTGGGTGTTTTCCTGGGCGTCCCTGGGGGCAGACCGCTGGCGAGGGACGCGCCGCTCAGACTACAGGCAAGTTTCTAGCCCAGGAGTTGGTGTCGAAAACTTGGAAACACGCCAGCACGTCCCGAAAGCGCCGCGTCCAGGGGAAAAAATCACTCCACACCGTGTTAAAAAACAGATCTTTGCGCCCATCTCGTGCGTACACAGGGCCTGGCACATTGCATCTGCTCCAGGCTGGCCGTGCCCTGACACAGCTGTCAAATGCCTCTTTTCCACAGCGCTGCTTTGCTTCCGGGCTCGCTCCTCCCGAGAGGGATACCAACCCATCTCTCCTGGAAATCTGCACCCGAGCCAGGGAGGCTGGGTGGACGGCTCCTGTACGGGCCGGCTCCCAAAGAAGGGAACAGGCGTCCCGGCGAAAGCGGAAGGTGGGAAAGTAAAGACGGGTTTTCCCGCCGGCGGCTGTACCCTCGTAAAACGTGACTCGCTCCCCTTCGCAATCCAGATACGCCCCGATGTGACTGGAGGTACAAGGCAGGTCCAGCGTGGCCTTAGGGGAGGTGAGGGCCCAGGACTGCGCCCCGGCACGCTGCAGAGCCCAGATCCCCTTCTGGGGAAAGGATTAACGCTCCCTCCTGTATCACAGACCCTTTGGCAATGCCCACGACCCACGGCTGTCTGCCCCCCACCTCTCCTCCCCGGTAACATCTCCCCGCGGTGAAGGCCTTGCAGCCCAGCTCAGAGGCAGCAGGGTGAAACCTGTCCCTGCCGAAGTCCATGTGGCTTTGGTTCATCACAGTCTCGTCCCTGGACAGGAGGCGAGAGGGGGTTCGCTAGGTCTGGATTCGGAGTGGCCTGCACTGGGAGAGGAGGAAGAGAGAGACAGGGGGAGAGGGTTAAGCCCTGTCCTCACTGCAGAGTTAACCCAGGCACAGACTCGGCTGCTCACCGGTGTTCCCGCTGCCTTTTTTCATCTGTGTGTGGAATAAATTTTGTTGCGTACACCGAGGCCTGTGTGGATGTGCACCACCAGGAGACACACACACTGCTCACTGAGGGCGCTCTGCTAATCAGCTGGGAGACACCTGAATCTCTCCTGAGCGGCCGCCCGAGCAGCCAGCTTATAGGGAACCCCGCTGCTCACCCCAATGTCCTTCCTGCCCGGACACACGGACCCCCCCCTCCTGGCTTGAGTTCAGTGGCACTTTCCACCCCGGCCAGCTGAGCTTCCACTGTCTCTTGGGCTGGCACCCTTCCCATTTTGCCACGAGGACACGGGCCAAACCACGCCAGTCACGAGCCGCCGGAAGCTTTTTCCGAACACGAAGCCGGAGAGCGTAACGAATCGTGGTCGTAGGAAAATACCGGCAGGACTTCCCTTCCCTCTCTGCCTTCCAGATCAGAAAGCTCAGCTGATAGGGCAGAGCCTCTGGAGACAGAGAGGAGCAGAAGAAAAGGTGATTTCCCCCTTTCTGGCAGGAAAACAGCCCCACAAAAACGTCAGGCTGCCGGCTTCCTAGCACTTTTCAATGCCGAGCCGATTATTAGTTAATCGTGTAATCGACAAAATCACTGTGGGCCGCACGAGGACCGAACTGCAAACTTCCTAACGGCCCTCCTGGCCCCACGGGAAAAGGAATTCAAACTTTCCCGGGGCTTTCCCTGTGCACCTGGGAGAGCAGCGGAGTTGAAAGAGCTGGCCAGAGCGGTCACGAGGGGGCACTATGGGACACCTACTGGAGGCCAAGGGTGTTGAATTCCCCAGCGCTGCGGCTGCTCTACCGTCCAGTCGCCCATGCCAGGTCGAATGTAGCGTTACTCCTCGGGAAAAGCAGAGGCACTGCAATCGACTGTCAGAGCTCTTAAAAACCGCAGAACGGGCTTGGTGGTGCGGGCTCGCTTAGGGAAAAAAAATCACCCTCCTGTGGCTAAGTTTGACCTAAACTCTCCGTTTAGAAGCAGAGAGACCCTTCCCATGTTCCCCATCGCACCCCAGACGAGTAGAACTTGTGTGCTCCAGCCGCCCTCGGAAGCCAGCTCTCTCTGTTGCTGCACCCGGGGGGAGAGCAGCGTTCCTTCTCATTGATTCCATCCACACGCAGAATAAATTTTGTTCTGCGCACCGGGGCGTGTGCGGATGTGCACCGCCCACAGACACACGCTGCCGCTGCGGCCTTGTTTTATCCGGGATGGGATGACGTTTATGGAAACGTAACGGACGCAAAGGAGAGGGGATGTTTGAGCGCAGAGGCTGCTCGCTCCTATCTTTTTGCCCGTTGTCATTGGTTACTAGTTATTTGCTGGCAGACATGTCTGCGAGCGGCCGTCTGTTTTTGAAGCGGGACAGCAAAGGCAGCCAAAATCAGAGAAGTGAATAAGGAAAAGTTATTTACTCATTCCCATAACACAAATTAATAGGGGGTCATCAAATTAATAGACGGCAGGTGTAAAACAAACAAAAGGACGTTTTTCTTCATGCGGCACACAGTTAACCTGTGGAACTCCTCACCAGAGGATGTTGTGAAGTCCAGGACTTTAACAGGGTTCAAAAAAGGACTAGATACATTCACAGAGGATAAGTTCATCAATAGCTGTAGGTGTCCCTAGCCTCGGTTTGTCTGGAAATGGGCGACAGGGGAGGGACCACGTGAGGATTCCCTGTTGTGTTCCCTCCCTCTGGGGCACCTGGTGCTGGCCACTGTGGGCAGACGGGACACTGAGCTGGATGGACCTTTGCTCTGACCCCATCGGGCCATTCTGACGTCCTTATAAGATTTCACTAGCGACTAGGGGGGCTAATCCAGAGCCTTGCGGGCCCTGCTAGCCCTATGGTGCTGATCTCCCTTTCCAGCAAGGAACTGCCCCCTTCCCAGGCAGCTAATGAATGCAACCACCCATCGGCAGTCGGTGCGGCGGCCCCAGGTCTGTGTCGTGGAGGGGGGCTGTTCTGAGAGCAAATGACGTCCTTATAAGATTTCACTAGCGACTAGGGGGGCTAATCCAGAGCCTTGCGGGCCCTGCTAGCCCTATGGTGCTGATCTCCCTTTCCAGCAAGGAACTGCCCCCTTCCCAGGCAGCTAATGAATGCAACCACCCATCGGCAGTCGGTGCGGCGGCCCCAGGTCTGTGTCGTGGAGGGGGGCTGTTCTGAGAGCAAATTCTCTTCACTATGAGCCAAATTGTGAATGAGTTTGACTCACCCCCCCC